CAAGGTCCTCTCCTCACGAGTCAGAGAGAGCCCCCCTCACATCTTGAGTGACTGTATCTCCTCCTTCTGCCCTTCTTACTCTAAGTCTGGTCCCTAGTTCGGGAGAGGAAGGCGGGGGGCGGGGATTGCAACCCCCGGCTCCGCATCAAGGCCTAGTGGGGACGGGTTTTGACCCCCACTGATTGAGGGAGCTCCACCAGGGCCCAGAGGTGGGCAATCGCCAGGTAGGTTACTCTCCTTCCCACTACACCCTCTATTTTATCCCAACTCCCTAAAACTAATAACACCTTCTAGCCTGCCTGCTAATGAACTAGGGGAGGAAGAGATAAGTTGAATTGTTGAAAGGGTAGGAATGAAAGAGAGAAGCGAGGAAGGGGGGAACAGTGTTGTGCAGTCTTCTTTCTTATATTCGTTTATTTAATCAATGCTATTTTATTTGAGAACGGTCAAATGTGATTGGCTAAACCACTGTCGACATTCTTGCTTTCCTGGTCTCCCTCTTTTCCTTTCTTCCTCATAGTTCGTCTTTAATCTTTTATCACTCAAAGGGTCTATGACGGTGAGGAAAAGAGATGAAAGGGAAGGTTGGCTGCATTGTTGTTCCTTGAGGATTGCATAATATGGGATGCGATGGGGCGGCACTGCGGCAGGATGGCATGAATAGGATGGTATAAATCAAATGCAATGGGGTAAACGGGATGTCATGGGAGACAGAGAAGTGGGGGAGGAGGAGGAGAAGGAGGAAGGAAAAGGAATTGGAGGATGGATAGGAGATGGATGACGAGGAGGAGGTTAAAAAACAACCGCGGGAGGAGGCAAAAAAAAGGAGGGGCGAAGGAGAGAAAGCTGAAGAGAATGAGGTGGAGGCTCGAGGAGGGAAGAGTGGGCTGGAGGAGGCTGACGGAAGAGAAGTTGGTAGAGGTGAATGGAGGTAACAGTAGGAGGCAAAACAGGAGAAGGATTGAAAGGAACCATGAGGAAAGCAGAAGATCCTTTGAGCAATAAGTACGCTTAAGTCAGCCTCTTCTTTCACCTCATATTGCTAAGGCAAAACAGGAGAAGGATTGAAAGGAACCATGAGGAAAGTAGAAGCAGCAAATGCATTAGCAATAGGAGTGAAAGAAGAAGAGACGTGGAATGAGACGGGCAAGAAAGAAAAAGTGGACAACCAAGAGAGCATCAGACGGGGATGGTTGATGAAGAGGGGGAGCGGTAGAATAGGAGGAGGAAGAGATCAATAAAAGGATGGAAAAGAAAAAGGAGCAGCAGCAGTGGGAGAGAAAGAGGGCTCAAGGAAGAGGAGTGGGACCTACAAATGGTGGTTAGAGGAGGGGGTGGAAGATGGTGAAGAGGCAATATGGAGGGAGAGTCATAGGAGGCAGAGGGGGCAGGAGAAGCAGGAGGCGGGCGGGTAAGGAGGGTAAGGAGAAAAGGGAGCAGAAGGATTGTAATCCACAAGAGGAGTATCGGTGGGGGAGTGAGAGGTGGGATGCGGAGAACGGAGAATGAGGATGAACAAAAATAGGACTGGAAGGAAACACAGCAGGGAAACTTGGGAAAGGAGACACTGAACGCAGAGAAGTAAGGGGAGTAGGACCAGATGGAAAAGGTGCATGAGCAGAAGCAGGAAGAAAGAGAGGAGTAGCAGCAGAAACCGGAGGAAGGGGAGGAGTACCAGCAAGCGCATGAGGAAGGGGAGTAGCAGCAGGAGCAAGGTGACAGGGAGGAGTAAGGGCAGGAGCAGGTAGGACCCTATAAGGAGGGGAGGAAGGAGGCTGAGCACAAGAGGAGAGAGGGCGAGAGCAGAAGGGAAAACGATAAGGAAGATGATGCAGGAGGGTAGGAGAGGGAGGAAGAGGAGGAGGAGAATGGAAGAGCTGTGGACGCGAGGAGGCGAGGAGGAAAATGAGAGAGAGGAGAGTTTGACGAGAGGCGAAACAGTGATTCTATGAGGGCAGAGGAGGAGGACATGGACATCGGTGGAGGGGCAGCAGGTGAAGTTGAACAACAGAGGAGTGGAATAATGGTGAGGAGCATCAAGGGGAGGAAGAGCAAGAGCAAGATCAAGAGCCAGAATAGGGCGATGAGGAAAATAAGGGAGGAAAAGCAGTGAGAGGACAAGGATTGGTTCACCTACTGACATGACTTCCGTATTTTTCTTTGTCTGAAATAGGAGGTGAACAACAACCCTTTCCAATGTGGCAGTCTTGCAGTGCAAACCATTTTGACTTTTTCAAACCTGTGTTTGTTTTCTTTCTAATTTTTGTGGTTAACGCCATGCCGGACCCAACTCTTCAGTGTTGGCAAGCCCTCAAATAATGTTGTTGTTTCATCAAAATATCCACAGTGCCAAGCGCTCCAATTTAGGCACCTCCATATCGAGATGTGCTACTTTGACTCTCTTCTGCTTCCCCTCTTCCTCCTCCTCGTTTTCGGGTACAAGAGCATTGTATTCATGTTTAACGAGTTCGTGTCTCAACAGTTGCAGCCACAACTGATTGCAATTGTCTAAACTTATCCAACAAATTTGATCACAACGTTGTTTCGGAAAGATGTTGTGCCCCACCAAATCTATGGTATGATCTCCCCTACTTTCTCTCTTATCAAATCACAATAACCTCCGAATGGTGCTTTATTGGGAAAATGCTTGAAAACGACCTCTGCCGAATATCGAACCAACGCACATGGAGAAATGAAATGCCTCAACCAGCATCAGATGTAACTACCAATGAAACTTTTCTGAATGTCAGCAAAAGATATTAACTACCAGCAGCAGCATGAATAGACATATTGCATGCACTTCTGCACCATTTGCTGGGTGTTGGTGATGGAACGGGGGTTGGTTATAAGTTGTTTAGCTACTTTGCTCCCTAAACTTCGCTGCGCAACCTTCGCCATTATTCTCTCTCTTTCTCTCTCTCTCTCTCTCTCTCTCTCTCTCTCTCTCTCTCTCTCTCTCTCTCTCTCTCTCTCTCTTCTTTCTCTCTCCCCCCCCTCCTCACATTATTCTCTCTCTTTCTCTCTCTCTCTCTCTCTCTCTCTCTCTCTCTCTCTCTCTCTCTCTCTCTCTCTCTCTCTCTCTCTCTCTCTCTCTCTCTCTCTCGTGTATGCGTGTGTGTATCAACTGTGTATTAACTGTGTGCAAGATTCACACCAACATAGTATCGTTCACAATAAAGGGTTTCAACATTGAACTCCAAAGATGCATGGATTGCCTACAGAGCAGCGTGATGCCCAGCATTCGACTCAGCAGACTGCGGCATGCCACATACGCAAATGAGCGAAGCAACATACAAAAGCTAAGATGAAAGGGATGATAGACTCTTTCCATGCCGTCGCTTTCTCATCAGCAGGCTGGACCCCATACAGTCTGCAGAATCCCCTTTCGGTGCTTCTGTGACTGCACTTGAAACAATGGGCAGGCAAGCAAAACGGCAGGAAGGCTACACGGCGAGAACCGAGGCCTCAACGCAAAAGACTCACATGCAAGTAGGTGCAAGGTAGGCAGCAGCAAGGCACAAGACAGGCGACCAACAAGGTACCAGCAAGGCAACAACGCCTAAGTCTCACAGACAGCAAGGAAAGCGGCAAGGTGACAAGGCACAAGGTGGGGGGCAAAGCACGACGTAAGCCAGGAGGCAGGTGGTGTCAGGGCAAGCAGCAAGGACACAAGGCAGAACAATGACTCAAGCAAAGTCCAAGAGAGCCCACTCATACAACACAACAAGGCAACAATGCCCAAGTCTCACAGAGAGCAAGGAAAGCGGCAAAGGGATAAGGCCGTGGGGGGCAAGGCACGACGTAAGCCAGCAGGCAGGTGGTGGCAGGATAAGCAGCAAGGTCACAAGGCAGAACAAGTACTCGAGCAAGGAGGCCAAGAGAGCCNAGAGCCCAGGAAAGCGGCAAAGGGATAAGGCACAAGGTGGGGGCCAAGGCACGACGTAAGCCAGCAGGCAGGTGGTGGCAGGATAAGCAGCAAGGCCACAAGGCAGAACGAGTACTCGAGCAAGGAGGCCAAGAGAGCCCACTCGTACAACAAGGAGCCACAAGACAGGCGGCCAACAAGGTAACCAGCAAGGCAACAACGCCTAAGTCTCACAGAGAGCAAGGAAAGCGGCAAGGGGACAAGGCACAAAGTGGAGGGCAAGGCACTATGTAAGCCAGCAGGCAGGTGGTGGCAGGATAAGCAGCAAGTCCACAAGGCAGAACAAGTACTCAAGCAAGAAGGCCAAGAGAGCCCACTCGTACAATACAGATCAACGCAGATTATGACTTAGTCACACCGCAAACACAATACCGCAGACTGCAGGTTAGTTGCCCCCTCAATAGGGGATTCACTAGAGGAATGAACGTCTGTAACCACCAGGAGACACAGGCATGATGGGCATACCAGCCCCTCTCATGGCACAGAAGGGGATTTCACAACATAATGCCAAACTGTTGTGCACATCTTGAGGCGGGCTCCTGGACCCCTTGAACAGAGACAGGAAGTGAAAGAAACACTCCAAACACAGTGAAAACTTTAAGAACACTTAGGAAACAGAAAGCCAGCAACCAGCTGCATGTGTGCATGTGCATGCGTTTGTGCATGTATGCGTGTGTGCATGTGCATGTGCGGGTATGCAGAACCAAAAGTTGCTTTCTGTAGAGTCATAATATTCCACATGTGCTGTACTACGGGTGTGACGGTTGCTGTCCTGCCCAACTCTCTGGCAAAATTGTTTTCTTGCTGTACAAACGTACGCCTTGAGTTCAGATCTGGCTGTGCACTTTGACCAAGTACAACACACCTGAGAGCACTATCTTTAACGTGATCGAGAAGAGAGGCGTTCTGTCTGGTCACCAAAAAATACTTAGTGATGGGTGAATTCCGATCTGCCGAAGGTTCTGGCAGGTTAGGTGTTTCTCCGCCATACTCATATGGGTGCTTGTTTTCTCCCCAGACTACTCCCGAGACATGCAAGCCTTTCCGCCAAACTAGCTGGGTGCTTTCCCTCTCAACCATCAGGCCATCTTCATTCCATACCGGACTAATTGATGAACTTACTTCTCGGTGAGGGAGAAGGAATCAAGTGCCGCTTTCTTGAACAGAATTAATGCTCTTCGGCACCTGCCTGTCGTGTACATGGCAGCTATAATTCTGACAAGTGCACTGTTTGAGTTCTCGGATCACGGCGCATTCCCTTTTTCACAGTGCATCGTGCGACTCTCTTCCTGCACGTAAAGTGCATGGGAAGTATTTTGACGCTACCTCCCGCCTTCGATCAAATAAATTCACAGTGCATGCATGAACACTGCCCCCACGTTTTGCTGGGGGATCCATCATCACCAGAGCCCCGCATGACCCTCCACAATGGCTTTCACAAATTCACACCCTGAAGAACAACTGGCTGGCTTTGTGCACCGAAAAGGAGGAAGTGCACAAATTGTGTGGCTCCTCAAATGCATAGCAAAGAACAACAACAAGAACTTGTCAAATCCATCAACTTCCTCTTTGAACCACCAGTGCCGCAGGGGGTCTTAGGCCCCCTCTGGGCCCCCTCTGATGCAAATGCATATGGACCCGCACGCACGCACGCACCGATTCATCCACCAAGTTAACGGCCTAAAAACGTGGAGGCACTGGTCGTTTAATAGCAACCTGTAGACTCCTATCTAAGACGACACTAGTGCATCCGTCCGCGACGGTTATGGGATACGATGTCGCTGAATGACTGTTGGATTGTCATCATCACTCCAAAGCCATAGTTTAGACACATCGTCGTTTCCAGATCTAACATCCACATTGTGCAAATTGAGTCGGACCACGTTATACGGACGAGTGACACGTGACGTCTGAATTGTCATCAAGACACGTGACAGGTCCTCTTCGTCGGCAAGAAAGCGTTCATTTCCATCTGGGTCGGTGTAAGTTGCGGTAACAAACCTCATCCTTGGCATGCCAAAAGTTTGAAAGACGATAGCTTTTAGGTGTCGAAATGAACCACGAGGATTGAAACGGACAGTCTCCACATGTCGGTCATTCAAATTCACTCTCACGCGAACAAAGAACCCTCTCTCCGGACGTGGCAGCTCCTTGTATTCGGCAATGGTTCGCTCTAACCATTGCATCCCATCATCCTCATCGATGATGTAGGACCGGTCAGGAGCAGTGTCCTCCTCCATCCTTCTCCTTCCTCCTGTCCTTCCTGAGTGCTTGCCTTGCAATGTAAGCCCTAAGCCCTAAACCCTAAACCCTAAACCCTTCGTGGTCCGTAATGCCCTTTCTTTCTTTGCTCACCACTCAGCTATCTACCCAATCTTTTGGTCAGTCACACATCATTTTCATACAGCTGCCAGCTTGCCACTTCAGCGCTCCCTTTAGCAGTCGCTCGTGCACGTGACTTCGTTCTTCACAATATGCGCAAGACCGGTCAGTCGCCTCAAATCAGCGTATCCCCACGGTTCAACCGGTTAGTCGCTGCAAATCAGCCTATCACACAATGAGTCCCTGCGCGTGTTGCATCTTCAAGAATGCACCAACCATCGCACCGGGTGCTCACTGATGCAAGTCCTAAGGCTATCGCTTGGACGTAAAGTATGTTGGCCCCTCGAGTCACTTCATCACTCTCGACATTGCTCGCACAGCCACTTCTGTCGGCTGTGGTCACTCACGTCTAACGCTATCGCTGGGACGTAGAGTATGGTGGCCCATTCCTTGAAGGGACCAATTTACTAATGACAGTGGGACACCAATGGCCACTCAAGTTGACATGCCACAGTCTGTTACTCAGCCTTTACTCCAGTTTTGGTCAGTGCAAGGATTCACTCACTTTGTCTCATACTTGTGGATGTGGCAGAGCTATGGCTGTCCTTGGACTACGTCACCCATAGAACATGGGGGGGTCATCAGTCTGTCATGACTGCGGATCCGACCAAAATTTGCCTTCAATACAGATCTTTCATCAGTCTGTATCTTACCAAAACTTGCCTTCAATACCGATCTTTTCACCCCGTACTCTTTTCGGGGGGCGGGGGGCGGGGGGGGGGGGTTTCGGGGAAGGGCCAACAACTCTTTGCACTCTCTTTGTCACACTGCTCGCCCTTTTCCAGTTTTGTCCCTGCTACGCACATTTGCGCCTTTGGTGCATGGGGTGACTTTCCATGGGATCATTCATTTCAACTACCCAGATGCCTCACCGTTCCGTCAAAGGGCGCACACACACACACGACTACTGCTCCAGGTAGGCTACGCTGCACGATGCTTCATCACAGTCTTTGCAATTTCCCTCTGCTCGGCATCGTTCCTCTCTCTCCTGTCAAAACGACAGATTCGCCTCTGCACGCAGGGACAAGGATATCAACATATAAATAAACCACCCAAAAAATCATGCACCTGGAGCTGCGATCATCCGAAGTTCTGTCATGAACAGTTTTGTTCAAACTTAAACAAATTTCAGTCCACGACAATGTTTTTTTTTTTTTTTCCTTCTTCTTTCGAAATGCCGCCCAAAAATGACCAAAACCTTTTATTGGACCACAAGTCCCACAAAGTCCAGCCGCGTTCTTAGAGAGGTTTGTTGGCAATAAACCCAAAAACAATCACTGGTGAAAAACTAAGTTGAAAACAACGAAGTTGAACGCACTGAAAAGTCTGAAATACACGAATGACTACCGCCTTCATCACCCGAATAGAACGCCCGGTCATTATCGCTGTATCCAGACCGACAGTTGGCCCAAATACGGCAATACAGTGACTCTGCATTCCATTTGGCTCACGGCGGTACCAGTTCGCTCAAAAGCAAGACGGTAGAAGTTTGGCCAAAAAAAGCGGGACGAAAAGTTCGAAGATGACAAACAGTTCTGAATCTGAACTGAAATTCCAAGTCGAGGTCAATAATGTAATGAACCGGAAACTGGACCAGAAAGAAAGTCCAAAAAAAGAAAAAAAAGTGGAAAGCGCCCTCAGATGGACAAAAATTTCACTTCAAAGTTCAAAGTCCGCGACTAAAACTTCGAGGAAAAGTTCGACCGAAGCTGAGAACGGACCAGACGCTGGACTACAGCTGCCAATATAAATGAAGACCTGAACCGAACGCCATGATGGGTTGAACGTTTCGAAGAAAACCTGTATGAAAAGTCGATGACCGAATCGAGTTTTGAAAATTGGGCTCCATATCACAATTGCACTCGAGTCTAATGATGTGTTCTGACGATCGAACAGATGTTGAACATAGCCCAGTCATGAATGAATAATAATATGCATAGCTTTAAAGAACCTGGAGCAAGCTTTGAGGATTTGTTTTTTTACAATCAGGAACTAAGCCATAATATAAAAGGGAAAAAACAGAGTTTGATCCTGACTCAGGGCACACTCACACTACCACGTATTTTAGCAAAATTGCAAAATTTATGTAGTTTTTTGGGTCACAAGAGGCACGTATTTTGCGTGTTCACACAAAAGGGCACGTAAATGTCAGCTGCCTGGACAGCCGCGGGCTTACATATTTTGCGGGGACCTCCAGAGGTCCCCGCAAAAGCGTATTTCTTTTTCCTCTACTGCTTTCCAGAAGCAACAAAAATATAAAAAAATTAAGTGCATTGTGCTGTCTGACTGCACACAACGTATTTTCRCATCTCAAGGCCAGGTCGCGACCCTGTCCTTTCTGCTTTGGGCAAAAAACGGGTGAGCAGTGTGACCCGCAGGTGCCATATACACGCAAATTCACATACGTAAAATTTGCAGAAGTACGTGCTAGTGTGAGTATGCCCTCAGAATGACCACTAGCAATATGCTTAAACGGTAAACCCCAGGTACACGGCCCCAGCCTTGCAGAAAGCTTTTGTCACCACAAGCAAAACTCGGATCGCTACGCGGCGCGGCGTGTCGTTGGAAAAAAAAAAAGACGGCGGCCTCCGAAGTGGTGTGGGTTTCATGCTGACACCCGCGGCACGACGCGGCACGATGTGTGGCGTACTGATGCGCTGTAATACATGCAAGTCGAAAACAAAGTGGCAAACGTCCTTCGGGATATCCGTGAAAATTGGAACGATAGAGAGAAGATTAGCATGGCCCCTGCACTTTCAAGGATGACACTCATAAACCGAGAAATGGTCCAAAAAAAAAAGGTAGCAAACAGGTGCGTAATGCGTGAGAAGCTATCAAACAGTTTGGGAAAAATCCCAAACATTTGTTGGGTAGTCAATGTAGCGCGATAGTCTAAACTTTTAGCGTTGTTTGATGAGCCCGTGTAGTATCAGGTAGTTGGTTAGGTAAAGGCTGACCAAGTCGATGACGGAATGGAGATGGAGTTTTGGAAAATTGGGCTCCATATCGCAACTGCACTCGAGTCTAACAGGTTCTGATGCACTGTCACTCATTCTTAACACCTGACTATCGAACAGATGTCGAACATAGCCCGGTCATGAATAATATGCATAGCTTTAAAGATGTTGAATTTGAAGAGACGTTGAATTTGAAATTTGAACAGATGTGGAATGACATCACTGTCACACATTTACAACAGCTGATATTCTGCACTCCTTTTCTTTCGCTAATTTGCAATTCCCTCTTGTCTTTCACTAATTCAAATCCAAAAAAAAATAAAAAATAAAAAAAAATCACAACACCTGATCCCGCACCAGCTAGAAATCGACCAAGTGCAAGAAAAGGGGAAACTTCAAATTAGTGTTTTGTCCCTATGATTTGTGGTAATTTGCACATGTCCCTGTCGGCCCCGGTACTTCTGGCCTCTACTAGGTACCGAGGGGCAAAAGCTGGAAGCCCAGGGGCACAGCACATATTGCATCCCCGTCTAACAGGCACCTGCCACAGAGCTGTGGGCATCAGAAAGGCAGGTTGCAAATACCAGAAAGAACCTCACTGCACCCCCCTTGCGCTGTCTTTCCGGCCACCCCCTGGCCCCCCATTTCAAACTCCCCTTTACTGTTTAGGGAATTTTACCCCTAACGTACATGTGACACTTCCCCCCCTCTCCCCACCACCTTTCCCTATGCCTCTCACCTTTCCTTTTCCTTTCAGGCACCCCCTCCATCTGTTTTTTTCCCACACTATCGTACCCCTTCAGTCGCCCTCTTTTAGCCACCCTTCACGTGTCCCCTCCCACCTCTTTCCCCCTACTTCATGCACGCCCCTTTCTCATCCCTCGTCCTATTTACAGATTTCCTGGCTCACCCCTTTACCCCACCTTTTCTGTGCCCCTTCCTCCCTATTTCACATCTGTCCTTCCGTCACTATTTCGAACATACCCCTCCACCCCTATATC